TGATCCTTAATCGATTTGGTTATCTTTGTCCATAGGTCTTTTTTTGGAGCACCTTTAATATCTACTTCATAGCCTAGAATTGAAAGTGTATCTGTATCTTGAGTAAGGATTTTGAATCTGTTTTAATTGCAGAGCTCAATTCTACGGGCATTGTCTGTGAGAAGAACAAGGATAGACTTTGACTTGTTAATTTTAGAGTTAGAAGCAGATTCATATTTGCTGAGAGTGTTATTGAGGGAATTCCAGTCTGAGGGTAAGCCAATTCCAATCGTTAGGTCATCTGCATAAGCTGCTATTTTAAAGAAAGAGTCTGATACTTTGATGCCATTAAGGTTTGTCTGTAGAGATTGGAGGAGAGGGTTAATTGCCAAGACATATAGGAGGAAAGAGAAAGGGTCACCCTGTCTGACCCCTCTTTCTACTCTAAAAGGCTCGGAAAGATATCCTGTATCCATAATATAGGCTTGTTGTAGACTAAAAAGAGAGTCAATAATCTTGCTGAACTTAAGATCAAAGTTCATTTTGTTCAGAACAGTTTTCATAAATTGATAGCTAACTCTGTCAAAGGCCTTTTGCTAGTTGAGGAAGAGTAACTAATTTTGTTTGGTTTGATCAGGTTGGTTTCTTAGAGTAGTAAAGATGTCTAAAGCTGTGTCAGTAATAGATCTGCTAGTAATAAAGGCTTGTTGGCAAGGAGAAATTATGTTGCTGCAGACAGAGTTTAGTCTATTAGCAAAGATTTTCATAAAGATCTTAGCATCACTATTAACAAGTGAAATAGGCCTCCAGTTACTATAGTGATGTGAACTATTCAAATCCGTATCTGGACAGATTGACTAAATAGTTATATAGTTTAAATAGTTGATCAGCAAATTTGCTTAGATAATCTGTGTAGTTTTAATAGTTATCTACAGTTAACTATAGTTCGAGTAGCAGTATACAGATTGTGCGAATTATACAAATAATGAGTTATTTTGGTCATGTATGTAGATCTATCCTGGCCAATACTACGAAAATGAGTTGGAAGTTTATAATCAATAAGTTTATATTTTTCATTCGGCATAGTTTGTAGATTATATAAGCTTCATTAATTGTAATAAATTTCTTATATGCATTTAAAGATAATAATAAAATATGCAATAAGTGTTGTTATAATATTTGAATATATATGTTTTAGTCATAAAATATAATATTTGCAACAAGTGTTGTTATATATATGTTTTTAGTCATAAAATGTAATATTTGAGTATTAAGTTTTCATGCTAACTAAATTTATGGGTGAATGCTATCCAAAATGTTGTAATTCCGTTTCAAGAACATCAAACACTTGAAAAATTCAGAGCTCATGCATGTCTTCTTGGGACCTATTAAATTACCACAATCTGAAAATAACTTTTCAAAGGATATTGATGTAGCCGAAATGGCAAGGTAAACACGTGCTAGCTTGCTTATAACAGGAAACCTTTGTTTGTTGTAGTTTCATCATGCAAATGGGTCTGATTCGAAAGGTATTTGAGGAACTGTAAGATATTCATCCAACTCACTTTGCGAATTTGTAGCTGGTAGGTTATTAAAGATATTGAAAAGTGTTGGTTTGTAAAAAGAAGATACAGATTGAGTATTATGAATATTGGAGATAGCTGATAAAGTAACTGATCCTGAAGTTGGTAATGTTTTTGCCTCATAATATTTAGTTTTTAACAAGTCCTGAACTTGTCTTAATTTGTGAGATGCAAAATTAAACTTTTTGACCCGAGGATCAAGAATGGAAAGTAAATATGATTCATTATTATCTTTTTTCCAGTAATATAGCATAGCACAGTACAAAGTTTCTTTAACCTTTTCCAGAGCTCCAAATGTTTGTATAGGCTTGTCTAGATTCTGTTCATTCTCACTATTACAAATCTCTAGCTCCAAAAAAATGTCATTAATACTTTCGAAATTTATTTCTTCAGATAATGCTGATACAAGTTTGAGCTTATCAATAATATGTATCATTATAGGATTCATTGTGCTATATGTAATATAATTGCTACCACCAAGATATCATGTTGCTTCTTCAAATAAACCTAATATTAGAATTAAATTACGAAGCAAATTCCACTCATTATTTGTTAACATTATTTTGGTCAAATACTGTGAATCTTTTTTAGAATCTGAATTTGTATCTTTTGATAATTCAACTTCTAATATACAAATATACTTTTCTAACTCTAAGAGATGGCACCATGCAAGATAACTAGAATTCCATCTAGTAGATACATCTGCAATCACATGTCTTAAATATTTTGATATTTTTCCAGCATTCTAAAATAAAATAGTAATTAGTATTTTGTATCAAATTTGCAAAAATTAAATGAACGTACAATAAAATGTTCCTTAAATATAATAAAATAGATTAGTAATTAAAATTAAAAATAAATAATTAAAAATAAATATGATAAAACTTATAAACCTTATTTGTATTTTCATATCGATTTTGTATATTTTCTAAGCGTTCAGACTGTTTTGGTCTTAAAAAAAAATCAATTAAGCGTTTAACACACTTAACTAGATTCTTAACTAGTTCTAATCCTTTACTAATTACTAATTGAAGAGTATATGCTGCATATAGCTGCCAGGTTATATTTTCTGCTATATACTTCAAGTCTTTAACAGCTTTTTGCATATTTCTGCTATTATCTGTTGTTATTATAAGAACCTTATCATGTAATTCCTATTTATCTAATAATGCAAGAATGGTATTACTAATATTTTCTGCTGTATGAGGGTGACAAATATGTTCAATAGAAATAGTAATCTCATAAAGTTGAAAATTATAATCTATATAGGAACATATTATGCCCAAGTACCCTTGCTGATTTTTTCTAGTCCAAAAATCACATGTTAAAGATATAGAAGTTAAATCATTTTTAACTTTTTCTATAATTAGCTTTAAAGAATAGTTATAAGCGATATGCACAAGTTTTTTTATGTATTTAATGCATAGAATTTGAAATCTTGGATCTAATTCCATTATAAATTTTTAAAAAGCTAAGTTTAGAAGAACAGTAAGTGGCTATGAATCAGTTATAATCCAATCTATAAGATATTAACATAATTCAAGCTGACGAGACTCATTATGAGGTATTATAACTGTTTTTATATCATTTTTATTATTGTTTTCAGTTATTCTATGAATATTTAAAAGATGTGAAGAACAGTTACTTGTTGATATATTAACTTTGTACTTTGTATCATATTTTTTTCCTTTTACCTTCTCAACTTTACAAATTGCATGCCTCATATTATCAATATAAACATGATCAAAGTATAGCCAGATCCAACTTCTAAGATTAATACCTTCTCATGTATCTTTGACTTTTTTCCTTTTATTAGATGATTGTATGTTATTGAGCACTTTAGTTGATGCTTCAGTATTGTCTTTATTATGAGCAGACATTTTTTTTAGCACAATTAAAGATGAAACACTAATGCAATTTAAATTTTTTTTTTAATTCATTGTTTGAAATTATTATCATATTTATATGAGTAATCTACTTTTGAAATTCAATAGTTTATCGGTATAGTTTTAATAGTTAACTATAGTTTAATAGTTAACTATAGTTGTAGTAGTTAATTATAGTTTAATAATTAACTATAGATTTAATAGTTAACTATAGTTTAATAGTTAATTATAGTTTGAATGTTAACTATAATTAACTATTATCTATAGTTTGAATAGTCAACTATAGTTAACTATAGTTTCAAGTAGTTAACTACAGTAAACTATAGTTTGAGTAATTGATCTACAATATGTATATATATGATACAGATTATACAAAAATACGGATTTCAAATAGTTATCCAGATTGTTGATCTACGGATCACACTACTAAGTTGCTAATATTTTCTAGATCATTTGACTTCTTGGAGATAAGAGTAATTATGTTTTTACTCCATGAGAGAGGTATTTGTCCTGTGATTAAGACATTGTTAAAAAGCTTAAAGAGTAAAAGAAGTAAAAGGTTTTTAAAAGACTTGTAAAATTCATAGGTAAGCCTATCTGGTCCAAAAGATTTGTTGTTTGGAAGATTATCAATAGTGTTACTAATTTCCTCTTCTATGATAGGTTTAACTAGTATAACATTCTGGTTTTGTGAGATGAGAGGAGCATTTCTGAGTAACTCTTCTGCTGCTTCAGTATTGATAAGTTTAGCTTTGTACAGAGATTTGTAGAAGTTTTTGATATATTCTAGAATTTCTAATTAAGAGTCAGAGGTGGGATTATTAGGTTTCTGACTTTGGTACTGCATGAAGAGGAGTGCCTAATTTTGTATCGAGAGAAATAGTATTTAGTTGATTTTTCCCCTTCTTTAATCTATTTGGCGTTTGATCTAGTTTGCTATTTCTCAGAGAGAAGTTGTAGCTCTTCTTGAATTTGGTCTTTAATTTCTTCAGATGAAGTTTGTAGATCTGTGAGCCTAGGGTCATTTGCTATCCTATTGTTCAACTTAGATAACCTATTCTGTAAGATTTGAATTTTCCTTTCTGGGAGCTGTTTAGGTTTTGCTGATCGAATTATTGACTGCATTATACATTTGTGAAAATCCTATTTGCTAATATCATTACAGCTTTGAAGATTCTTTGTAATTTCGTTTCTAACTTCAGGGTCAAGTAATTTCTTTGGATCAAGCCTCCAAATTGCAGCTTGGGTTGGTATAGATTGATACTGAATTGTACATTCTACGAGAAGGTAGTCTGAGTTACCAAATCTTGTTTGGGTTTTTCTTTCTAAATAGCTGAAGTTTGCATCAATAAAGATATAGTCTAGTCGAGTTGCCATTTGTTGACTACTCTGTGTGTTTTGATAAAAGGTAATATTTCTCAAAGTTGTTCACTGAATCAGTAAATTCAGTTGTTAAGTTTTGTAACAAGGCTCTAGTAGGGTCGTTTTGAGCTAGTGCTTGACTTATTCTGTCTTTTTGGAGATTTAAATTCACATTGAAGTCTCCAGCAAGTATATTTATGAAGCCTTTATCAATTTGAGATGCCCAGTTTGAGAAAAATATTTGTCTTTCTCTCAGATTAGGAGGAGTATAGACATTTGTAAGTAAAAAGTTGAGATTGTTGACTGAAATTTTGGCAAGAATTATTCGATCTTTGAGAATTAATTCTGATTCTTTGATCTTGATATGTTTTTTTCCAGCTAATATTGCAGTTTTAGTAGTCTAGAAAGAGTCAAAGCCCCATTGTTGAGCTAAGAAGTTTCTGGTGTTAGGATCATTTAAGTTAGTTTCTTAAATTGTAATTATATCTAGGTTGTATGATTTTAGTAAAATTAAAGTTTGGTGGGCTTTAGCCTTGTTATTAAAGCCTTTCACGTTTAGAGTTGCTATTTTGATATGTTTTATAGACATTACGATAGAAGAGTGGGTTTGTAATAAGAGTTGAAACCTCTTAGTATAAGGTTGCTCCTGAAGGAGGCATCCTTGTATCCTGTGTAGTAGTCTCTTCTCTTGAGTAGGAAGATCTCTTGTTCTCTGTTTTACTTTTAGAAATTGCTGGAGTTGACTTTTTTTCTAGAGTTTGAGTTTTGCAGTTCAGATTCATTGTATCTGAGTCTGAATCAGATTTTGTCATAATGTTGTCATTAGTTTTTGCAATTGAAGAGGAGCCTGAAGAGGTTGTGTTGTCTGTTGGTTTCTTTGAAGTAGTTGTTAGAGAGTGAGGTTCAGGTGCTTCATCTTCCTGGGTATAAGGGTTGTTTGAGCTAGCGCTGATCTGAAATTCTGAAGTCTCATTGCTCAATTTTTTTGCCTGCCTTAATTCTTTGTAGTAGTTGCAAAGTGCAATTGCTTCTTTAAGATCTTGGCAGTTCTTTTTAACATGCCTTTCTTTCTCACAGTAGTAGCAGATTTTGGAGGCTTCTCTCCATTCTGTGGTGACTTTGTAGTCTCCTACATATGTAGTTCTTGGGAGTTTTTTAGCTAAGTCTGCATCTTCTGTGGTTTCAAAAGTGATGATCTACTGGTTTGAATAGACTGTAGTCCCTTCAAAAAATAGAGGCTTGATGGAAGCGATAGTACTGAAGTTAATAAATACTTTTTTGATTAGGTAGCTAGTTTGGTTCATATCTCTGAGAGAGGTGTTTCTTAGCTTAACTGAGAGGAAGCTACATTCGAGGTTAATTGGAATATAGCTAAAGATAGTTTACTTAAAGATATTTAGGCCTTCTGTAGCATAGAATTGCTGTTATGATTCTTCTCTGAATACTACTTCAAGATACATTCTTTTACTCTTGCTGAAGTGTGTTTTAGCAGCTAAGAGTTTGTCCTCAAGGAGATTCGCAAGAGCTAAAATTATATTATTAGTGGATATATTGTTGAAATTTGAGATATCAAAGATAAGAGCATTATCATTTATAGATAAGATCTTATTTTTGGAAGTTTCTTGCTTAAAAGTGGCTTTGCCACCTCGTAGTTTTGTAAAAAGATCAAACCATTGTCTAGGTTTACTCAGATTATCATTAGTATTATCAGTTCTTCCTGATGTAGTTGTTGGATCTGCATTAGTGTAACTCATAGAGGAGTTTTTAGTTGATTAGCTGTTTGAATTTTTCACATGTTCTTTGTTTATATCTGAAGTTACGTGTTTGTTTGTTGTTTTGTTAGAAGTGATATTTGGTTTTTCCTCGTTTTCTTTTTGAGAAGAGTAGGGGTTGTTGTTTTCACTAGGCTTGTAGATTTCTTTTTCAACCTTGTTTGCTCAGTTGTTTTTAGTGCTAGTATCTAAAGAAGAGTTTTTGGATGAAGAAGAAGCTTTAGAGAGAGTTTCGACATTTTCTTCTTTCTTTTCTTTAGGAACGGAAGAATGATCGAAAATTTTTCTGTTGTCAAGAACTTTTGTTCGCTTGTTTTTGTTGTGACTCATAAAGCTTGTTGGAAGCTTTTTTTTTCTAAATTTAGGAACTATAGCTTTTGAAGAGGCAGAAATTAGTTTTGTATAAAGTTTTTTAGTTATATTGAATTTTGGGTACCCTCAAACTAAGGGAAACAGGAAAGAGTTAGTTTATAAGTACAACAACTCTTTTAATTAGGAATTTGCATTATCTACAAAATATGTCTAAACATGAACACTTGCCTGAAGCTAGCCATGTAGAAGTTGTTAAAGCAATTACTAAAATTAAAAAACGTGCCTTTCAAAGTAAAGAAAAGCCTGTACAACTAATTCAAAATTATATGTCTAATATTTCTGAAGATATTAAACCTTTTATGCCATCATATAATGCTCTTCATGAAACAGTTATTCGTTCTAGAAAAACTGTTCAATTATCACAACTACAACATGCTTTGGACTTTAATCTTCTACTCACACTTTGTAATACTTTAAACAGCGATCTTTTTTTAATCAAAGATCATATAGATGGCCAAGGCAGAACTCTCATATTTTCTACTAATGAAAATATTAAACATTTATCCAAAGCCCTCTATTGGATTATGGATGGTACCTTCAAAACAGTACCAACTATTTTTTATCAACTTTATACCATCCATATACCAGTCAGACCTGAAGAAAATTCTAGGATTCTACTATTAGTATATGCCCTTATGACAAACAAATCTGAAGAATCTTATAGGTTTGCATTGGGATTTAAATTTTACTACGTACTGCATAATTACAAAATAACATACTGAAGTATTATTTCAAATTTTAGCCAGAATTAAGCCCAATTCAGGCTAAAATTCGAAATAATACTCTAGTGTATTATTTCGCAGTTATACGATATAGCAATATTAAATTATTAAACTATGTGATACTATTTATCATATAGTTTAGACATCTAAACAATTTAAGTCTAAACCTTAATTAAATCTAACACTAAATATAGGCGATTCTTCAATGATTTAATTATATTTGCTCATCAAATTAGAATTCAGTTAAATCCTAAATAGATAATTACTGACTTTAAAAGAGCAACTATTAATGAATCACGTTGCGAATTTCCTAATGTAATAAACAAGAGATGTTTTTTTCACCTATGCCAAAGTAGATAGCATAAAGTTCAGAAGTCTGGCTTAGTTACCAAATATAGAAGTAATTTGTTTTTTAGCCGTATGATTTGGCATTTATTTGCCCTTGCATTCCTACTAGCAGACCAAATTCAAAATGCATTTGATACTCTAAAGGTAAGTATGCCTCCAGAAGCAAGCGAAGTGACTCAATAGTATGAAAAAAATTATATTGGGATATGACAAGATAATATAATGGACTGCACCTTATCATTATTTTACCCACAACTATAGTCAGTTTATGAATTAGTAAAGCTAGGCATTCTACGAATGCAAAATTCTGTGGAAGCCTGGTATAAAAGGTGGAATACTATAGTTGGAAGGTCAAATGTAAGTGTATATATATTGATAGAGGAATTACAAAAAGAACAGCAGAATGTTAATGATCAAG